GCTCTTCCGGCCTCCGTTCTCAGTGACTTGAAAATCGATTTCGGACGAGTTTCCCGTACGCATCTTGCCAATCACCGCTACCGAAGATACGGCTGCATATGTGTACCCATGTATGCATGCAGCATCACGGCCGCTTCATACCAATCCCTTTGCTTCATAATTTGCTCAGCAAATGAATGAATACGAGCGTCAGGAACGGTCGTCCGTTTGTGGGCGGGCGGGCGAGGAAGGCGTTTGGGACGGAATGTTGTTGCTCGATAGGGCGTTATAGGGGTACCCTCCTTGGAAAAGGCGCCACGGAGCGCCTGTCCGAGGTCACGGAATTCTGTTAAGCCAGTCGTATAAATCCTACATCTGTATAGCGATTTATCGTGCCAACTGCCTTTAAGATATGTCAAAGATGGAACGCCAGTTGCTTGAACCCTCAATCTTACAAAATTTCAGAATTTGGTGCCTTGTCCCGTCTCACTGGTGATCCTCAGTTCGAGCGAGTGGCGCTGAAAGCGCTAGAGTCACTGTGGAGGACACGATCGTCACTTGGTCTCGTAGGCAATCACATCAATGTACGGACAGGTTAGATAGTACGATCAGTTGCTGCAGCGGTGTGGAATCTCAAGGGGTTCTGGAGAAGTTGGCATGGTAAATTAATGGAGACTACCCTGCTCTATTTTAGGGCAATGGACTGCCACTGATACGGGTATTGGAGCCGGTGTGGATTCGTATTTTGAATATCTTGTGAAAGGTGCTCTTCTTCTACAACGTCCAGCGCTGATGGAACAATTTCATGGTAGGAATCCGTCATGGTAGTATTCTGTCCTTCTACACTTAACCTTCTAAGCTAGATAGAAAGTGAAAAATTATATTGCTCTTCATTTGATTAGGGCTTGTCATGTCTAAAATTCGGGGAAATAAAGCTCCAAAAGAGTAACGCTGCACTCAAAGGCAGTGGGTACAATGGCTGGGGGCGGGCGGTTGCTGCGAACGTCATTGGTGGAAGGGGTGCGAGAGTTCGTTCGCCTACATCCCACTCTCCTCTTCCACCAAAGACGTTGGCTGTAACCCCCGCTATCGTGCCTCCTTTGATTTTAGCTTTGCAAAAGGTTGTCTACACTGAACCTCAATGCCTATGTGATTCCTAACAATCTCCGTTGATAGAGCATCTGCATTCGTTTTCTTCCCCAAAAGGCTCCCGTTTGCTTTGCCTATAGTAATGAAAGCGTTCTGTCAATTTGCTGGCAAAAGTTAATCTAACATTCGCTGCGAATACATAGAGAAAATTTCTTAAATTAACTTTCGATCCCCTTTTTTCCCCCATTGCGAACCTCATCTCATCTGACATCTAATTGTCGCTTTCAACTACGCTTTTTTATCTTGCGTTTCGGTCTTACCCATTCTACCCGCCTACGATGACCGCTCGTTTGCCTATTGCAAGGCATATGGCTGGCAGCGGCGGCGCGGGCGCGGTATGGAGGCGATTTTGAGTACGCCGTCTAACCCCATTGCCATACCATTAGTGGCATGTTGCTGTAGCTGCGGGATCCACGGAGAAATAACAGTATCTGTTCAAGAAATCCCTGGCAAAGTTGTTGCTGGAGCAAAATGAGGATTTCTAAATCTTACCATGCAGTAGGGAAGAGAACTCCGCGCATTGCAGGTCCAACTTCTCTCCGTAGAAGGTGTATTTTGGCCAGAGTAGTACCAATTTGCACGCCAAGTCCTTTCAATCCCCCATCCACCGCTGAGCAAGAGCCCCTCTTTTCTCATCAGTAGATTGAACAATGCTTTGAAATGGCGGACGAGTATGTATTGTACGCGGAACGGAAGCGGGTTTCGGAGTAAGTAGCTGTTCTTGAACAGAAATGGCAAATGTATCCATCGTATCCACTCGAGTCCAATCTTTGCGCGACGCGTCTCAGGGTACCGGAAGTTAGTGAAAAATTTAGGCTGCCCATGTGTTGAATGGGCAGTTTGAAGCCCTTTGTATTAACTACTCGCACCGTTATAAATATATTAAGCACAACACTCACCATCTAATCATTCTTCCTTTTCAGAATACGCTTCTGCTATTAATCGCTATGTTCGCAAAGGTGACTGGTTCATGTGGGTAACAATGACGAAGGGCGCAGTTTCCTTACCAGTATTCCAGTCCTTGGAAGCCTTCTGGCCAGGATTACTGGTATGTTTTCGAATGTTTTCTCACAGATCTGGCCGGCTTTCTGTATACGAGCTAATGTTAATAGCAGCTTACTGCTGCGATCCATCTGAAACTACTCCAAGTTTCTGAGCTTTATAGAGCTTTCTTTTTCCAGTGATTTCTGAATTTTTCTAGTCTATGATTGGTAATGTCGAAGAAGCTTCTCGAATAATGCTTCAATATTCCCAGTGATTCGGCAGTACGGTTTTCCACCAGAGTTCTACAACGTTGGCTGGCGATACAAAACTCGGCGGTAGGTTTACATCTTGAGATTTGGTTTTCGATTAAGGGAATCAATCAAGCCTTTTCAGGCCGAAAAACGTGCAGCTTTCCCATTGCGTCCTGAAATAGCAGAGAGTCTGATGTATCTCTACAGAGCCACAGAGGACCCGCAGTTCCTGGAAATTGCGGCGCAGTTGGTTGATGTAAGAACATTAATGAGTTTATGAGTTTATATCCGAGTTCTCTTAAACCCTGTGCCAGCTCCGTCTCTCTAAATCTAACAAATGGCTTCGAATCTCAGGAAGGCCTACGATTACTTGTGAAGCTTCTCAACCCCATGCATATACGCATGCACAATGTCTGTACCGTATGGACCGTGCTTGCAGTGCAGCTGCAGCTACAGCTTGCAGTGTCTTGCCTCAAAATTTGATGATGGCCATTGGACAATCTTCGGAGCTGCGACCTTTCACACCTGAGTTTTTTTTCTTTGCCGGTACAACCAGCGTGGGCTGGACCTTCAAAGGCAGACCCCGCGATTGCATATCGTGAGCTAATGGACGGAGAATAACGAAGCCATAGTCGTAAGTGACTCTCCAGGTGAGAAAAGAGCGAAGAAGTTAAGGAGAACACCTTGAAGACCCCCTGATGGCACATGAATCTTTCCTTCGCGTTATTCAACGTCTGTTCCATAGATAGATCAAACAATAAGAAACAAAAAACGCGATTTAAAACTGAACTCCTATCAGAAAAAAGTCTTTCGAGTCCTGGTGGGCGGCGCAACTAGTGAGGTGTCAGCACTGCTACTTATGGGGGCCGCAGCGGCTTCCTTATTTCATGTGAAACCGCGAAAAAGAGATAGTCAGCGACTGAGGGCCTGCAACCTACTTGTACTAGGAAAGACGACTCCGAATGCTTGAGCGTGGGGACTGTGTTTGTGTCTGTAGTGTGCAATAGGCGTACTTCACATTTTACGTTTTTATTTATGTTCTGACTGATAGTTGTTACCATAAGCTGAAACAAGAAACTGTGCTCTATTCAGGGTAAAACCACGTTCTCATTTGTTTCAGGCTATTGAGCACAGCGCAAAAACTCCATGTGGTTATGCAACAATTAATAATGTTAATGATCACTCAATAGAAGACAGGTAAGTGAACGAAATAGTACTGCTCTCTTTCAATCAGTTTGATTCAAATCCAATACGAAATCAAGCGAGTTGGTCTGACAAGCGGCTTAGGGTTCCAAGATTTCAAAGAGGTGAATCAGCGTGTATAGCGTTTCTCCTGGGACTCTTGCTTTCTTGTGAAGCTAGAACCCTAGTTTCTCGATCAGCTGAGTAGTTTGTCGCTTACTCGTGTACGTGGTGCCGATCGCCAAGACTGCTGGTCCAAATTTATAAGCAGGCATAGGCATACAAACTGAGGAACCTCACTGAATAGCTTCTCAATGAAGTCAATCAATGGAGGCGGCTCGCACAAATAAAAAATTGCTTGTTATAATAATGACAATCATGTAGGTGGGTACAGGGTAGAGCATGGTGATGTGTGAAAAGATGCCGTCAGTACGACCCCCCCCCCAGCAACCAACTACCAGTTTCCTACTAGTTCCCAGCTACTAAGAGTTCCGCTTTCAAGCGCGGGGGTAGGGGCAGATAGCCAATGCGAAACGGGAGAAACCGCAAAAAGTCAACAACCGAGAAAATATTCCTTCCAACGTGACAAATTTCTCTCAAATTGGCACATATAGCCTCCCTCCCACTGAATACGGATCCCATGGAAAAACTGACATGTTTTTCGGCGAAGCATAGAAAAATGCGTTTAAGATCATTTGAATGATGCTTCAAGAGCGTGTACTGTAACTGAAAAAATTACGGAATCAACGGCCACTCTCTGTTGGCCTTTCGTATACTTACATATGATTTCATTGTTGATAAGAATGTTGGACAAACTCGGAGGCATCTTATAATTTCTTCTCACACTCTTTTAGGATGGAGTCGTTCTTTCTGGCGGAGACAACAAAATATCTGTATCTGATATTCGATCCGAACAATTTTCTTCATAATGATGGGCAAAGAGCACGAATAGTGGACACGCCAAATGGAGAATGCGTTGTGGATGGTAAGTTCTTGTTTTACATTCTTATAAACTTTTTTATTTGTACTGGGTGCGATATATTTGTGCGCCAAGCTCTACATTCAAGCTGGGTTGCTGTTGACAGAGGGCTCTGTCCTGAATTGTGGATAAAGCGCTGATTTGAATTCATACTTTTGTTTTCTAGTTATTACAAGTAGGTTTTCTAGTTATTACAAGTAGGACGGAGGCTGTACACATTTGTCCATTGATCCTTCAGTTATCTGAATCTGACTCTTTGTTGTACCTCATTTCCGGAGCTGTTAGTGTCCCTACCCTGCACTTGCTTGAGCCAGAACAGATGCCTATGTATGTACACTAAAACAATGGCCTAAGCCTTCTCCCCTCATACCAGGTAGCTACGATAGTCGTTACGAATTGTGCAAATAGATAGGATGGTACTCCCTTCCACCCAACTGGTCACATATTTTGTGACGTTCTTTCATTTTGTAGTACCATTCGAAATGGAAGCAAAGACACCAAGGTATTTTTGTAACTTACTTAAGGAGACTAGATAGGTAGAGGTGCCAGGGAAGCTCCGATAGTAAGAATAAAGTAAGAGAGGAAATAAGGTAAGTAGAGGAAATCAGGAAAAAAGTTTTTGTAGGAGACAGCTGGGATGAGATGAGAAATCGGAGGCGGCTAAGTCAAGATAAAGAGCAGGGTGCCAGCATATGGCTGCTTAGATTCACCGGAATCTCCCACTGTTCCTGACAAGTACCCGCTTGGTATATCTTTGTTACAGCTGGTGGCTACATATTCAATACCGAAGCGCATCCAATTGACCCTGCTATTGTACATTGCTGTTCTGCTCAAAGGCAAGCTGAACGTGAAGCTGTGAGGAAGTGGGAAGACAATTATGATCTGCTGACAATACTCGATCATCGTGATACCGTATCCCCAATGTTACTTCGAAAGGTATATTTTCTGTCGTTCATCATGCTTTTGTTGGTTTTCGAGCGTTTTTTTCATGATTTCTAACAAAAACCGGTCTGAGTTTTGTAGGAACTGATTTTGAAAAAAAGAGGATAACAGTTTCGCAATTTACACTGCTTATTCTTAAGCTGAGGGAGTGGAGGGCAGCCCTGATGGTGGAACAGTTAGCACTTCAGCCTGGTGAGGGTGAGATTAAGGTCCGAGTGCTGCCTGGGGTCAAGTATTTTGCTCACGCAGCATTTCTGTGATTACTTTTTCGGCTTATGGAGTTTCGTTTTCCATGGGGAACCAGAGCTTACACACTTCTGCACTTCTGCCGTCTTGCTTCAGAATGTTTCGAATTGCCCGAACATGAAGCGGGGATAGCGTGGTGCAAAGTATTACTACGCGCACCGTTAACGGATCAAGTCGGTTCCCGAACACCTCCCGCCCGCGCAGTCGAGTCTTCCATCTATGAAAGTCAGTTAGAAGCCCGACTCTTCTGGAAGCTAGAATACGCTGACTTATACATTTTTTCTATCCGCATACTTGGGTTGAAAAAACATTCAATTTCGAAAATGCCCGCGTTCCAAAATGGTGTTTCGCGCTGCTCAAGCAGGGTGGTAATTAACACAGTAGTTGAAAAAACAGAAAAAAAACTTCCCGGAACTGTTCTCCTGCAAATAGAACTGTATACTGAACCGGCCGCTACGTGCATAAGACGAAGAATGGACATGGTCGGACAAATTCTCGCTTGTTAGTGCCAGCTCTTCCCCTGACCCGCACTCTCAGCTTTCGAAATGGAGAGAGAGTTAGTAACAGAACAACCGCACAATCAGGACGCCTCCAAAAATGAAGATGGAGCCTTGTTGTGGCTTTTGCTGGAGCCGGGGCCATGTGGTATAGCGCACTTTCCTCTCATATTTTGGGCTGCGAAAGTAGTAAATCTTCCACGCCTGCCAGCAGGATCGCCATGTCCAAAGTAGGCGCCTGGACATCATCCATTTGATGTCCAGGCGCCTACTGCCTTCAACTGGACTAATTCATTTCCTCAGTAAAGGTGATTTAGGAAAGTGTTCCTGAGATTTTGACCAATCTGAAGAATATTCGCGAGGACGTGCATTATTTGCCTAACACGCACTCACCAGAAACACCCTCTAGGACTGAACTAGACGTCGAGTTTGAAGTCGATGAATCTTTCATCTTAGGCGGTGAGTGCCCCTCGATTACGCCGTATTTTGTCGAGTATTTTTCAGCGAAAATAGGTTAAGCGCAGGATTTTTTAGGTTCAAGCTTCGAAGAATGAAAGTCAAGCTGAATTGAGGCTTCGATCAGCACCATCTAACGAATCAAACGAAAAACTTCTGACCGATATTTTCGCTGCGATCACTAAAGACCTTTCGAGAAAGAAAGCTACTCCACCGCCAAAACCGTGGTCAGCAAAGAAAGCCTTCCGTTTCAAATCAAAGCCCGGTAACACTGCTCTTACACAAGAAGAAATACTGCAGAAGGTCTGTCATGTCGTTGTTGCATCCACTTCCTTATACTGGAGTACTGGCATATTTGAAATTTTAGGTCCGAGCCTTGATTCATAGAGCTCGCCTTGAAGATGAGCGCAAACGAGAGATGGGAGAATCGGCAAATTCTGCTGAAGAGCTCGTTGAAACAATGGCTAAAATTCACAGCGAATATGCAGTAAGTTTTTGTTTGAATGTTTAGCACTCTTGAAACATTGCACTTCTTTAATCTCTGAAACTTTGTCAGCTGTCTGAAATTTCAAGTGTGAGTTTATTCGCTGCACTGATTACAAAGGAATCATTTTGTGACGCTGACGCCGTCTGATATCACCACTCTTTGCACCAAAGTTGACGTAAACTTCTATACTGTGGTTAGCTGTCATCCCAATTGCGAATATACCATTCATTCTTGGCTTCAACACGTTTTAACACCCTAAGGATGCCGGCGCCCGTTTCGCATCACCACCTTTTTCACCAAAACGGTATGAACTTGCGTGTCGTGTTAGTGTGGTGTAGTGTCAGAGTCTAAATGAGGCTGCGATTTGTCCTACTGAATTTGTTGCAAACTTGTATTTGGGGTTCACTGGGGACAGGGTCATGAGTGTGTTGCGGAATTCGCAATGGGGTCATTTAAGACTCACTAGGAGGGGATGGGTTTGTATGTGCAGGTGTCAGCATTGGCGACGTGGGGTGGACTGCCTCACCCTTACCTCGTCACAGCTTTGATGACTACTGGAAGCTAGATTACGCCCCCCCCCACCCTTTCGGTGAGCCAAATACGAACTCTCCCTTGAGGATTCCTTAACGAGTCCTTGGCACTGATCTGAGCTCAGGATTCAGTTCTTCTTCTTTTCCGGATATCAGGAAAAGCATGGAATTATTAAGGAACTCATCAAGTATGCCAAAGAACTCGACGACGAGTACTTCGAGTTGATGATGGAACGAGAAGAGAAGGCGCGAGCTGCAGCAATGGTGCCGGTTGTGACAGCTGCATGCCAGGTAGGTCCTAAAAACTAAGGTTACTCGTCTTCATGCCACGTAAGTATGCATTTTTAGCCTCTAACTGTGGGATTTCCATGATTATGATTATGAGTTCGGATATGTTTTCAGTTGTTCGGATATGTTTTCAGTTCGACATATAAAATAGTTAAATATTTATATTATTCAGAATTGTTGTTTTCCTACGGAAGAAATTGGTGAAAGTGTTGGATATCGTTATTGGGTAGACTCTATCTACAGGACTCACATTTATCCAAGTCTAGGGGTCAGTGATTATAATATCTTTTAAATGTTGTGCTAAATTTTCCTGGCCTTCGCTGATTTTTGTGTCTGTGTTTAGGTGAAGTATGAACTCGGTCCTTTATGTTGGACGTATGAAACGCCAAGAGTGGAAGATCATTACCGTAATGTGGCTCCCGGTGAGTTTACGAAAGAACGCTGTTTTCTGTTTATTATCAATTAGAAGCCGGCTTGCGGGCCCCTTTCTTCTCACTAGTCCTCTTGCGGTGACATTTCGTAGTATAGTACTGTTTCGCAACACATCAGGCTGATGTGCGGGCTCACACCGTTCACTTGAAGTTAAACTGTGCACTCACATTCAAGCACCCTCCTTACCATATGCGAGGTGAATAGGTCAGCCGCTGCAGTAGCACACCACCTTTATAATCTCAAAAATGCACAGAGCGGGGTGAGGGGTAGTGATACTGGTGCCGTTTTCTAACGCTATCTTCAAGCTCCTCTCCCGTTGATACAGGAATCCTGCAGCAAACACGCAGTCAGTATTACTACCCTTCAGCCCAATTTTCGTGCATTTTCGACCGGAGAGCACCTACTGCAATCGTGGACCCGTTAACCTGGCGCATGGCAAGGGCCAGGTTTCATGGGAGTTAACGTAAAGTTTCAAAGGTATCCTTGTGCGAAGCTAGACAGGGCTCCAGGTATTTTGCGCTAGACGTATGTGACGTGCTTAGGGAATCAGACTATCCTCAGTGAGCGAAATCGTAGTATGAGGTGGTTCTGGAGGAACCATCCCCCACCAGTATTTGGTGCTACTTTCGGAAAGAGAGCAGTAGAGTGTGAACTATTAGAACTGCTTATAACTCCTCGCTCCTCTTTTTTTTCTGTAAATCCAAGCTGAGGCGGAGGTGGTGTAGTGACAAGTGGCGCGCTTACCACTCGCGCGGCGCCGGGTTCAAATCCCGGGTCGACCCAGGCCAACCAAGCCTTCTACCCTCCGGGGACGGTAAATTGGTACCAGATTCGTCTGGGAGGATAAAACACTGACTTGTACATCGGCTGGCCAAGTCATTGTATAGGCCACATCGCATTCAATAAGCCACTACGATTCTGAATGGAAGTAGAATGCGTGCCGCATCCCACAAAGGGATTGATCAACGGCGAAGACTTTATCCTTTATCCTTTAAATTCAATTCTCATCGCATCTTTGATGGCCACTCAGAGATTGTTATCTCGATGAATGTCTAGTGTTCACCTCTTTTTTAAAATAAAGGTTTTCTTCTAGTAATGGTACGTTTTTGCAGTCGTATCTTCATCTACTCTGATTCCTGGCGACGTACCGATGGAGTTGTTTTGCCATCCACCGTCATTGACAAACTTCGAATAGCTGATATAGAACAGTTTGGATTTGAACTTCTAACAACGCCACCACTTGGATTCAGCTACAAGTTTGTTGGAGAGGGGCAAGTAGCCCTTTCAAGGAATACGTCGTATGTACATTAACAAGTCCAGTGCTTCTTTCGAGGTTGATCATCACAGTCGCGTGGCGAATAACCTGCGCTTGCATACGGCATCGCAAACAATGCTCGTACAAATGATTATTCAATTATGCCCTTCCGTCTGTACCTCTCAAAGAAGAAAATGTTGCATCGCAATTACTGTATGGAGTACAAAGACAAAGCTGACAGCTCACCGTTGTTTCAGGTGGATGGGTCCGCACGAAAAACGTGCCACTTCGTCCATTCAGAAGTGCACTGGAATGGTGTGGAAGGGTAGGTGATATACTCCTCTTCATTACGGACTGTCGGGGCGGGTCAGTGCGGCTGCGTTTTCCGCGGTTCCAAAGTCTTTCTGCACCAGTTGTTGAAGCGATCAAATGACATAACAGCATTATATCCTTCGTATTACTCGTTTTCTACCACTTTTTGTCGCATACGCGCTTCAAAAAAAGGCTGAGAACGGCTTCAAACAGTGTGCGCACTCCTTCTGGCCGATACGCCCCGACAGTCCGTAATGAAGAGGAGTGTACGTGGTTGGCGCTGCCGTGCT